TGTAATTCTCTTGGTCAAGGATTCTCAAAGAGTCAAGGATGACCTCTTGGGTGTTGTGGTACAACTTGAGAAGCAGGAGGGTCTCATTCCTATGCTGCCTGGATACATGTAGTCCCGGTTGAGCTTCTGGCCCCGGACCAGGCCATGTGCAGGATTCAGATCCTGGGGCTCTGCTTTTGCTCTTAACAGACCTAACCATCTATATGAAGTGTCCAAGGCAATCTGCCAATGATTGTCTAGCCTCTTCGTATCCCAGATATCCTATTGGCATATTGGCCTGTCTCCTTTCATAAAGCATTATCTTCCTGTGAGAAATAGAAGAGGTGGAGTACCCAAGCTGCCTGGAGTAGGCATATAAATTATAAAATTACATGAGCCAAGTTCTTAAGAGTTCATGTGTTGCTCATAGGAATCCTTTATTCTAAGAAGTCAAACTTTTCTACAGCAATCTTATGTCAATCTGCTCTTTGCTCCATTGCTTTTTGGTTGGATGGTTGACCCGACTTCTATGTTAAAATACTCTTGAACATGCAACTTTGAAAGCAGACTTTTAAAATCCCGTTTAGTTTTTAAAATGAACTTAGTGTTGTATTGTTCTGTTCTATTGTATTTCTTAAGAAATTAAATGTGTGTGTTGTAATCTGCTAGAATCTCTATAAGGTTGGAAGAAAGAAATACGATGTAAGTACAGTCAGAAATAAAAATAGATGTATTAGAAAAAATGGTTTTCAATCTATTTCCTTTTTTATCAGGCTTTTTAAAGTGATTTTATAAAATAGCCTGGTAAAAACAATTTAATGAACAATTTAATGAACAATTTATTTGATAAAATACAAAATGTTAAGAAGTAATAAAGGGTCAAAATCTTTTCTGACAAAACTGTAGGCCAGGGATGGCGAACCTATGGCACGGGTGCCAGAGGCGGCACTCGGAGTCCACTCTGTGGGCACACATGCCGTTGCCCCAGCCCCGCCTTCCCCCGCGACCCCCTCACCAGCAGCCCCCCTGAAGGAGAGTCGCCCCCGAGCGTGGCCCACGTGGAGCAGCGCAGCCAAGGACACGGCAGCCAGGCAGTGTAGACAAGACTCTGCCCTCATGCCCCATCACGCATAGTTGATGCTGCAGGGCACGGGCAGAGGGCGTGGCTGCCATAGTACTACTGGGCTGCCTGGGCAATCTGCGACGGGCCCTGGAGGCGGTGAGTGGCCCTGCAGGCAGGCGGGGTAGGGAATGGGGTGGGGGCGGAGCAGGGATGGAGCAGGGGTGGGGCCAGTTTTTGGGCACTCGGTCTCTAAAAAGTTCGCCATCACTGCTGTAGGCTATGTGTTCTACTAGGCAATTGTGAAGAGTAGGACAAAGGGATACAGTTGCACCTTGAGGCTGGTAACTAAATGATCAGGAAATATAATACTGTATCTATTTTGAATGAGTCGGATAAATTGCATCCCAGAGTATAAAAGAAACTTGGTAGTACCGTATATGTCTTTGAGAAATCCTGGCAGATCAATGAAGTGCCAGACAACTGGAAGAGAACCCCCCCCC